GGTGTCACCGGTGTCCCCTTCCCGCAGGCAGTACTCGCGCTCGGGGGCGACTTCGAGGCCCGCCTCGGTTTCCCCGGGGCAGCACCATTTGCAGAGCCTTTGCTATATGCCAGGCACCAGCTCGCGCGCTTCAACGCCGGGGCTGTACAGAGAGGTGGAGCGCCTTGCTCGAGGTCACACCGCTGCCAAAGGGCTGGGACCCGGCTGCGGGCCCGGTCCCGCGCCCCTTGCTCCTCCCCCGACTCCCCCGCAGCTTTTCTTTTCTGGGGTCCAGACGGGACTGCAGAGAGTGTGTCTAGGAGCCCCCTGGAATTGGGTGCAGCGAGGTACATGAACCGCTCGAGAGAATTTTTCCACGGCTTTTGTCTGATGCTTGGAAGTATCCCCGACCCTCAAGAGGTCAGGAAGCATCGTTTGGCCCTGTACGGGAGCAGAGGTGGGCTTAGAGCAGCGGGTGTGTGCTGGGAGTGGGGTGCCAGCCCAATGGAGTGTGATACTGGAGCCCAGGGCTGGCCTCAGGCAAGGGAAACTTTTTAAAGTTTGATTTTTGTGTAAGCACATGATTCCGCTCTTTGGAACGGTGATTCTCAATCTGGTCAATTGAATCAAGGCCCTTTTGTAGCAAACATTTATAGAACCCACTTTACTTCCCCGAAATGAAGTTCATGGATGTATCACCTAGTTGAAAATCAGTATAATGCTATCATTTACATGTAAGGGAGAAAGAAAAAGAACAATATATGACAGGCATGGCTGTGTCATTCACATCTTGCACATACTATGGTGCTAGAAGGCGGCATGCACTGGGTTCCTTGTACCAGCTTCTTATGAATATGTTTGGATTGGTTAAAAACAATAAAAATCAGGAACTAATTTAAACAAGAAAATCAAAGAGCAGATATAGATATACACTGGGGGCCAGGATGAGGATAGGACACCTAGTGTTGGAACAACCTATTTATGCTAATAAAAGAGAGATACAACCTAGACTGAACTAGGAATAACATGCCAAGATAAATTACACAGTCTCAGTTAACACATAAATAATATTAGTATAATCCCCCTATGGGTGTGGTATTTTCAAACTATTTTGTGGAGTATCTTTTATGTCACAGACTTTGAGGCATTACTACTTTAAGGGACAATACCAGCTTCCTAGCAGTTACCATTGGTGACAATTAATAAAAACAAGACTGATTTTTTATTTTTTAAGAGATGGAGTCTTGCTATGTTGCACAGGTTAGGTTTGAACTCCTGGCCTCAATCTTGTTAGGCTCCTGCTTCGGCCCCTCAAAGTGCTGGGATTACAGGCATGAGCCACTGTGCCAGCCAAGATTGAAGGTTTTGGATTCATTACCAGTATCTCACTTGTTTATCTCAGTGTTGTGATACTGCAGTTGTATGTTAACTGTGTAGTGTAAGGAAATGATCACTAATTTTTAGACAGTTTTCCTAATTCTATTTAAGCTTCCCTTTTCACTTTCTCTTGCGTCCCTGGAATTTTCCTGTAATTTTTTGTAAAAAAATTTTTTTCAATACTGTGTTGTAAAGTAATGTCAATTTATAGTGGGTGTAATTGTCCTGGACATTCACAAGACCTTGGAGATTGGAATGAATCTTGATTGTATAGATCTGTCCCACCCATACATTGTGTGAAATCTAGATCCTAGCTCCCAAACTCTAAATGCCAGCAGTCCCCCCAGTCTCTTTGATAACTAGCCCCCTGGAGTGGAGAACCACTCTAAGGAACAATCTCCATTGTCTAGTCACTTATAATAGGAAAAGTGACAGAATTTAACTGACATTTTTTTGCTGGGAAAAAAGTTTGTAAAATTCTTTCCCAAGAGTCTGATATACAAAAAAAATGCAGACTTTGTCGGTGACACTTTCATTGATTATTTTATGATCTCAGATGGGAGGCAAAGTTAGTACCTGTGTTTCTCTATCTGTAAGACTTGCTGTATTTATTTATTTATTTTTTGAGTTGGAGTCTCACTCTGTCGCCCAGACTGGGGTGCAGTGGCCGCTCCTGGCCACTGCAGCC